ATACGAAAGTTAGTCAGTAAATAAGGAAGACCATAGAAGAATTGATGCTTCTGAGTTACGGTGTTGGAGGAGAATACTGAAAGTGCCATGGGCTGCCAAAAAAACCAACAGATCTGTGTTGGAAGAAGTGCAACCAGAGCGCCCCCTGGAGGCCAGGATGGCCAAACTTCGTCTCTCATACTTTGGACATACCGTCAGGAGTGACCAGTCACTGGAGAAGGATATCATGTTTGGCAAGGTGGAGGGAGGGTCAGAGAAAAAGAGGAAGACCCCCAAGGAGATTGATTGGCCAAGTGGCAGCATTGATGGACTCAAGCGTGGCAACAATAGTGAGGTTGGCCCAGGATTGGGCAGTGTTTTGTTCTGTTGTGCATATGGTCGCTATGAGTTGGTACCGACTCTTTGGCACCTAACAACAACATCATTAGTCAAAAGAGAGCAGAATAAAGAAACATAGGGCTTATATTTCCTGTCCCCTTGACCCATAGCCCTGTCACACCTAATCCTAGGCTTTATGCCCTTCAGTTCTTTTTACTTACCTTCCAGGATTCCCCTAGGTCTGTTTTGTTTCCCTTTTGTCAAGAAGTTTCCCCAGTCCCTGTTCGGGCACCATTATACAGGAACCAGACCTGCATGAACGGGTCTCGGGGCTGGACGGAGAATGAAAGTGGCAGGAGACTCAAGATGGTCAGTCAAGAGTGACTTTATTATTCTACAGTACAGCTTTAAGTACAGTCTTAGGTAGGAAGCATATCTGGACAGCTCATCAATCTCAGGTTTATGATTACTAAAGTAACCTTTAAGTACAAAGCTAGGAGTGAACAATAACTAGATAAAGAGCAAGCACATAGTAACTATTTCCCCTAATTACAGACCCTACCGCAAGCTGTTAGGTCAGTGTGTTCCAAGCCCAGCACCGATGGCAAGCAAGGTTTTCCTTGTAGTTCTGATCAAGGCGATCCTTGGTTAGAGCACTACCGCTGAGTGGGTGTCCCCCATGCCCCAATTACTCCTACAGCACCTTTTACCTTAAAAGAAAAGTAGAAGTCAGCAGAGAAGGAGGATCCTGGCTACCACAAAGCAAGAAGAGCCAGAGCAGAGTGAGTGTTTTCCACCTGGAGTCCCTACTTTGAGAACCTCCTAGACCTAGGGAAAGACTGACGCTAAGACATAGGGAGATGGAGATGGGCAACTTGGACATTGGATACTCAAATGGGGAGGCGGGGACTACAAAGGCAAGAAGTGACTGGCTTATAAGCTTTCAAGGGGGAACCTAGTGCTAGGGAGCATGGAGGAAGGCAGAATCTCCTGTGGGTACTACTCAATCTGTCTGGGCAGAGCGGATGAAAGGAAATACAGAAAGGCAACTAGCAATACTGTAGTGAAGGATGCTTATCAGGACGGATTATGAGGGTTGGAAATGCAAAGGTAGATGTTTTGGAACAAGGAAGGGAGTGATTAATTCTACAGGCTAGGAGCGGAGCTATCTGGGACCATCAAC